AAATCTGTGAAATTCACTTATAAGTGCATGCACCTATATGCGGCGTAATACGGTAATTAATAATCACCAGACTATATATAAGTTGACTTTTGGTTTCATATAATGCTTAACCAATTCGTGAATTCTAGCAATTATTCAAATAATACAAATTATTTTACTATTTGAAAAATTATTATTTTATGAAATAAAATGAACGACAAATATATAATCAAATCTCCTCTTCCGTCGGTAGACATACCGCTTATCTCTGTCGGAGAGTTTGCATTAAATTACTTGAAAAAGTTGGATCAAAACCACAGGTGTATTGTAAGTGTTGATTAAAAATACACATAATTTGCATCATAAAAGTTACATACTATATTACACACCCAATATTTACAAGATTGATCAAGATTACCACTATATCTAGACTTTCTCAGTCCTTAGAATTAGAGATATAACGAATTTATAATTAATTTACATTAATGCAAATAATATGCCTTATGTTAACTGATAGATCGACGCCTGTCTGGAGTCCAAATGGCTAACCGTTGGTGAGCTAATAGTTTCAGCCCAAGCGGTGGCCACAGCCCTACTGGACAGGGGTCTCACCAAACAGGACCTGATTGTCACATTTGCCAACAACTGTGTAGAGCACTCAGTATTGGTATTCGCGGCTATTTTGCTGGGCGTCACGATATACCCGATCGGACCCGTGGCTAATGTGCACGAGTTAAAAACCCTATTGCCTACATTGGGTCCATTGGCGCTGTTCACCGATCGAGACAAGTCGGTTATCGTAGACAAAGTGCTCGCATATCCGGACATCAAAATCCAGTCCAAACTAACAGTCATGTTGGATGGGTTGGCCCGGGAGGACACGTACGTGCAGTTCAGTGAGCTTTTGGCTGAGGGTAAGGGCCGGGAGTTGTCCCAAATCCCGCATTTCCCAGTCAATCCCGAGACCGATATATACATAATGCTGCAGAGCTCGGGCACAACAGGAGTGCCCAAATCGGTACGTCTATCGCACCGGGCGTTTGTGGCCAACATATACTGCAATATATACGACAGATCGCATCACTTGAATCCACTTATTTTCAGCGAAATCACTCCATTCGGGTCCATTTCAGGCCAGTTTTATTTATACACTTATCTACTAATTGGTGGCACTTTTGTAATGTACAGCCGGATGTCTGAAGAGGCTGTATTGAGCTCGGTGAATAAGTATGGTATTAATACCATGTTTATTACCCCGTTGTTTGCCAGTAGACTCATATCGGAAAGTTATTTCCATACATATAACTTGTCTAGTGTTAAACTGATTATGTGCGGCGGCGCAGCCCTTCCCGCAGAAGTATCCCAGAAATTGGTCAATCAATATGACATTAATTTACATGAAGGCA